TCCATAGTCTCTCATGGTTCATCTCCCCTTCCAATTTCCCTCAATTCCCTTCTCCTCTCCATCTCCCTATGTCCTCCATGTTATTTGTTATGCTCCACAAATAAGTGAAACCATATGATAATTGACTCTCTCTGCTTGACTTATTTCACTCAGCATAATCTCTTCCAGTCCCATCCATGTTGATACAAAAGTTGGGTATTTATCCTTTCTGATGGAGGCATAATACTCCATAGTGTATATGGACCACATCTTCCTTATCCATTCGTCCTTTGAAGGGCATCTTGGTTCTTTCCACAGTTTGGCGACCGTGGCCATTGCTGCTATAAACATTGGGGTACAGATGGCCCTTCTTTTCACTACATCTGTATTTTGAGGGTAAATGCCCAGTAGGAATTGCAGGAATTCTTATCTTAGATCTCCAGTTGAGTTCACAGGTGTCAGAATGATTTGATAGCTATCTAGCTGAATTCCTGGGACCAGACAAGACTAAGGTCTCCTACACCTCTGCCGTCTTGGAATATGGAGTTGCATATTTTAGACTGGTGATGGAAAGGTGAAGCAGGGCCTGTCTTATAACTTCTCTTTTCTCAGGGCAACTGGGTGTCTCAGTTGGTTGAGCATCTGCCTTCAACTTGGGTCATGATCCCAGGGTCCTGGGATAGAACCCCTCATCGGGCTTCCTGCTCCATGGGGAGCCTGCTTCTCCCTCCTGCCTGTTTCTCTGTCTGCTTGTATTTCTCTCTTTCAAATAAATAAAATCTTTTAAAAAATGATTTATATTTTCTTAATGAAGTATGAGGAAGGTGAAGTGCTTGGACTGGGGGAAAAGAGTATGAAAAATTTAAGGAAAGAGAAGATACAAAATCTTCATTTAGTATAGTGGAGACTACAACTTGTGACAAATGTCTGATTTGAATATTCATCTGCCAGGGGGAAAATAAACAAATCTGGGTTTGTTTTTTTTTTTAAGATTTTATTTATTTATTTGAAAGAGTGAGAGTAAGGGGGAGAGAGGGCATGAGCTGAGGGAGGGAGAGAAGCAGAATTCCCTCCTGAGCAGGAATCCTGATGGGGGGCTCAATCCCAGGACTCCAGGATCATGACGGGAGCTGAAGGCAGTTGCTTAACTGACTGAGCCACCCAGGTGCCTCAGGGAAATCTATTTTAAGCAGACTTCCCACCGGGAGCCAGTTTTGGGGGATTTATCAAGCACCATGTCTTCAAATATAGACCATAGTGCTTCAGCTCTCACTCACCATTACTTTACACTATGATTCAGACCCCTAGAAGTTTCTTTTATCTTGCTCTACAGTTCATTCATGATGCATTTAAAAACATTTTTCAAATTATATTTTGTTGTGCATTTCCATTTGTTCACGTAGGAGGAAAATTTTCCCAGTGTTTTCAAGGGAAACATTTGAATTTCAAGGGAAACTTCTCGAATTTCAGTTTCATCATTTATAAAGTGCTATCCACTTGTGGATATCTACTCATGGAATTGTGGTCAAAAATTATACTTTGTATGTATAAGATCCTGGCCCATAATAGACAATAAAAATGATAGTTGTAATTATGTCACTACTAAATATTCTTTTGTCCATAGAGGAAAACTTTTTTTTCCTAAATATGGTTAACTTCTGAAGTTGCATTTTTAAAAAAAACTACCTTTTTTTATAACTTTAATGTGACACAAAGTTTTTAAGTTTCTTATATAAATATATATATATATATATATATATATATATATATATATATAATGTAAAATACCTTACTGAATAATTTTTTAAAATATTTTGGGTTGTATAATGTTTTTAGGGCCCTGATAATGTAGTACTTGAGAAAGAACAGAATTCAAATAGAAAACTTATTTCCTCATGAAACTTTATTCTTATCACATGAGCAAAATTATGATTGATAATATGATTTTAAAAGTCCAAATAATAATACTGAGGAAAAGAAAAGGAGTAAAAAAGCCAACACATAACTTGAAAGGGATTTTTGAAAACCATCACAATATTATCTATATCCTCTGACTACTAACATGTTACTGAAGACTACAATATTTTGTAGTAAAGCCTTCTATTCATTTAAGTAAATAAGAAATGCCAATCAAATAATTTTAGTATCAATCTTTTTTTTTCTTACAAATTAAAATAGCCACAGGCATACTTTGTGTTCTCTAAAGGAATATGGATACTACGAAAATCAATGTTCAACTTGGAGAAATATGAGATGTTGACATAATGACTCTTTATTCAGTATCTTCTTCCATGTTGGTCTGATCTAGGGCATGTATCTCTCTTTCAGGTAGTAATCCATATTCATTTAGGAAAGACTCCACATCCCCAGAAAAAAATTCTTCAGCAAATTGTTCTGTAACACTGATAAAATTGCTTATGAGTTCCCCACCTTTGTAAACAAGCAGTGTGGGGAGTACCTCTGAGGAAAAGCGATCCCCAGCACCTGTATTAGAAGCTTTTATTTTACAAAACTTGACCATAGGGTATTCAGCTGCAAGGCATGTAAAGCTACTGTTTAGAGCATCACAACCCTTAATACCATCTTCATAAATATGAACAACAATTGTGATTTTCTGCTCCTTTCCAATGGTTTCCAGGAACTGCTCCCCAGTTTCCAGCTCATACACAAACCCATATCTAGGCCCAAAACTCAGCTTCTGGTGCATATCCTGCATACACTGTCTACGGTATTTACGAAGACAATTTTCATCTTCTTTGTCTCGGTGAATTAATTCATATTCTTGAATGCTCATCTAGAAATAGACAAAAGAAATGATTGAGATAATTTGGTCAGAAATTTATATTCTTTTTTTACATTTTTTAAAAGATTTTATTTATTTATTTGAGAGAGAGAGCATGTGTGTGCACGAGTAGGGGGGAGGGGCAGAGGGAGAGGGAGAAACAGGCTTCCTGCTGAGCAGGAGCCTTCTGCAGGGCTCCATCCCAGGACCCTGGAATCATGACCTGAGCCGAAGGCAGACACTTAACCTGAGCCACGTAGGTGCCCCCAGAAATTTATAATTTTTAGACATACCAAACCCATTCTCAACTCAAAGAGTTGAGAATGTTACCTTCTTTGATTATACTACCTCAAAAAGTTCCCACACCATGCTTTCTATTCCTAATATTGGTTTATTTTTCTTCATAGCAACAAATACTACCTGACATTATGTCATGTACTTATTTATTTCATAATAGTTTTTATAACTGATATGTCCCATGGGGCAGGAATTTTGTATCATTCATCTCTCCTCATTATCTGCTGTAGCATCTGGCACATAATAGGAACTCAGTAATTTTTGCTTGATTAAATGCATGGCTAAATATTGTTGAATGTGGTTGAGCCATGAGATGGTTACAATCTCTGTGAGAAAAATATGCCACTTAGCTACCCATCACTTTGGGTGAAAAAATTCCACCAGGGTCTACTCTGGAGTGGCTTTCATAAAAAATAAAAAGGTATACACACACAATTTAAATGTACTCCTAACAAATGCCTTTAGATAATAATGTCTCCTCCACAAAAGTTCTTTAAAAAATTATATCCTTAAAAAACTATGTCTTATCACTTACTGACTTTTTGGAATATATGGGATGGAATTCAGGCAAGAAAGATTTTACTATTATTTGGAGTTCATCAGATCATTCAAGAGGTTGATGCTGGGTCAGCAGCACCTGAGAAATTCTGGTAAAAGCAAATTTTGGAGCACCACCCAGGACCTACTGAATTAAAACTTGTATGTATGAGGCTGAGTGAGCCATCTTTAAATGAGCTTTAAATTGCCTGAAGGTAATTCTTATCTACTGGTTTAGGCTAAAGTGAGAAAAGACTTAACTTCTGTCTTTCAACACAGCTACTTTCCACTGCAGAGCCTTTTTAAATAGCTACACCATTATTAACTTATTCCATAGAATGTTAAACAGTCTCCTCCTCCACCAAAATACATATATACATATATACGTATGTGGGAGATTGTGTGATTGAGAGACGTGGTGCCGCCAGGACCATAGAAGTTGGATGGCTCTCAAGGGGATTCTCTGCTGCTGCTTTGCCATCAAGCAGCGTCTCAAATAGCAACTGCTGATAATTTTTAAAGTGGAGGAGAATTGAGAAGACAAGAAACTAGTATTTATGGAAAATCTAATATGTTTTTAGGCACTTTGCATAGGTTATCTTACTCAAATCTCACAATGAAACTATGAGGTAGGTATTATTACTCTCATTTTATAGATGATACTAAGATTCAGGATAAGTAGAAATATCTTGTTCTTTCATTAATTCCTTCTCATTTCTGCCTCTTGTATTTGCTTCTCATTCTTTTCCCTGTCATATTACTTTTTCGCTTTAAGATAATTCTCGATTTTATTTTTTTAACTCTAAAAAAATTAGATGCTTTATATAACTTTTAAGTTGCTACCATAGTACTGTTAATTTAACAGACTACCATAGTACTGTTAATTTAACAGACTGAACATAAAAATATTGTATCAGTATTGTAATACTGATTTATGTATGCGTTTGTGAGATCTTGTTCTAATCAGGTGTTTAGGCATTCAGATACATTTCTCAAGCTTAACTTGTGCAACACTTTCAATAATCATAATGTCTCTCATTTGTAGGGCATTTTACATATTTCTAATACTTCCATGTTTATTTTCTCTTCACATCTTTTCAAAACAAAGAGAGGATGTGTTGTTGCAATTCTTCAGATGGGAAAAGTTAATTGACTCAACTGTATCATGTAGTGTGTCTGTGAAGGAACCCAAATCTAGAAACAAATTCTTTTTTTTTTAACTCTTTGTTTTTTGTTTTTTTTTTTAAGATTTTATTTATTTATTTGACAGAGAAAGATTACAAGTAGGCAGAGAGGCAGGCAGAGAGAGAGAGGAGGAAGCAGGCTCCCTGACAAGCAGACAGCCCGATGCAGGACTCGATCCCACGACCCTGAGATCACGACCTGAGCTGAAGGCAGAGGCTTAATCCACGGAACCACCCAGGCACCCTGGAAACAAATTCTTAGACTTGAAGATTTTTACAATGGCCAGAAGCCTAGAACCAAGTATGTTTCCAATGTAGTCTGTCTGTTGAGAATCAATATACAACTCATATACATTGGTTTGAAGATATATAACCCACTAACGTGATTTATTCCCCAATGGAAGTCACTTAATGGGTTTTAAATTAATACGATTGATGTTGGGGTGCCTGGGTGACTCATTGGGTTAAGCCTCTGCCTTCAGCTCAGGTTATGGTCTCAGGGTCCTAGGATTGAGCCCTGCTTCATTCTCTCTGCTTAGCGGGAAGTCTGCTACCCCTCTCTTTGTGCCTGCCTCTCTGTCTACTTGTGATCTCTCTCCCTGTTAAATAAATAAATAAAATCTTTTTTAAAAATATGATTGTTGTTATTATTGTTATATAAATAATGCATGCTAATTATAAGGATTCAAAAAACACTAAAAGCTAAAAGCAGGAAGTAATAAATAGTGAAATTCACCACTCTAATACTCTGAGATAATCTCCATTAACATATTTTGACATAGCACATGGACATACACATTATATAACAATAAGTGAGATTTTTAAAAAAATTCTGCTTTAAAAATATCTTGATACCTTAAAAAAAAATGTGGCTTATTCTGCTTACTTTCTTTCTCCTATTTGGAAAAGGAAGTTGAGATCTTTCAACCAATTCCACCCTTCTAAATAACCAATATTGTCAGGTTGGTGAATGTCTTTCCATACCTTTTTCCCCCCGTACTTTTCTATATACTGTTCATGTAATTCTATAAGTGTAAAAATATATACAGTGATGTGTTTTTCCCCTTTGCTCTAGAGAATGAAATAATCATATAACTTAAAATACTCTGTATCTTGCTTTCTCATATTATAGAACTGCCTGTAAGTCAGCTCGTGTATTTGTAACTCATTCTTTTAAGAGCTCCTATATATATATTTTTAAACATGGAATACCTTCACAGGCATTTACTTCATTTCTGGGGTTTTTTTGGGGGGCGGGGGTTGGCCAACATAAACTATCATAATAAATATTTTTGAAATATATCTATTTTATATCTCTAAAGTGATTCTTTACAGTCATTTAGACTGAAAACACATTGTAAGTTATAACTACTGATTTTTCCTTACCTTTCTGCTGAATCTTTCTTTTAAGTCTTTGTTATTTCTATCGTGAGGAGAAGACATTTGTCTGAGAATCTCCTTCTTGCTAGGTGGAATTGAATCTCTGTCTTCACTCTCTAATTTAAACTTTCTCCAGTCATTTATTACTCCTTTGGGTCCTGGAATAAAAGAAAAAACAAATTGTTTCCCTCTTCATTTTCAAAACAACTATTTATACAATTGAATTTTGTATAAGTATCACCATTGGAATATATTTGTCATCCTCTGTATCAATTTAAAAAACCTTGCTTGGGCTAGAAATGCCTGACTTTCCTGCTCATAAAAATGTTTTCCCATGTTAATCTTGTTAGATAGGTTTTGGCTAAGAATTTCTCTGAAACATCTACATTAATGAAAATACAAATTATGTACTTTCAGCTATTGGCAAAATTTGGGGGTAAAGATATTAAAAAATTAGAATATGCAGGGGAATTAGAATTTTAGAAAAATAACACTTTTATTAAATAAGAAGGAAGCTTCAGCAATAATCTAGAATTGGCACCACACTATCAATAGGGACACTAGGATTATCAGGGAAACAAATTGAAGTGATATCAAGATCCAGAAAACAACAATAGCACATATGAAACAACCAGTGAGTGAAGACCTGACTTCAATTAACAGAACTAAAAAGGCTTTAAGAAAATTATTACATAATCACCCAATTCCTTTTAAGATTCTAAGAACCTTTTACAAAGGAGAGGAAGGGATTTGCAGATTTAGGAAAAATTAATTAATTCAAGGATCCAACTAGAATTCAGATGTTCAGTTGTCCTGGTAAATAATAAAATTGCTTGGAAGGTCAAAATTCTTGGAAATATGGAGTTTTAAATATCCTTCACTAAAGATTAACCATATCTATACCTTTAGTATTATATGTGTGGATGTATTCTCTTTCTTCCACATATTTCTTAATAATTTCTTAATTTATATTATATATATATATTTTTTTCTTTTTTTAAAATTTAATTTCTTTTCAGTGTAACAATTCATTGTTTATGCACCACACCCAGTGCTCCATGCAATACGTGCCCTCCAGGCTCCCAACCCCCCCACCCCTTCAAAACCCTCAGATTGTTTTTCAGAGTCCATAGTCTCTCATGGTTCATCTCCCCTTCCAATTTCCCTCAACTCCCTTCTTTCCATCTCCCCATGTCCTCCATGTTACTTGTTATGCTCCACAAATAAGTGAAACCATATGATAATTGACTCTCTCTGCTTGACTTATTTCACTCAGCATAATCTCTTCCAGTCCCATCCATGTTGATACAAAAGTTGGGTATTCATCCTTTCTGATGGAAGCATCATACTCCGTAGTGTATATGGACCACATCTTCCTTATCCATTTGTCCTTTGAAGGGCATCTTGGTTCTTTCCACAGTTTGGTGACCATGGCCATTGCTGCTATGAACATTGGGGTACAGATGCCCTTCTTTTCACTACATCTGTATCTGTATGCTCTTGGATCGGAAGAATAAACATTGTTAAAATGTCCATACTGCCTAGAGCAATCTATATTTTTAATGACATTCTGATCAAAATCCCACCAGTATTTTCCAAAATAGCTGGAGCAAATAATCCTAAAATTTGTATGGAATCAGAAGAGACCCAGAATTGCTAAGGAAATGTTGAAAAAGAAAAACAAAACTGGTGGCATCATGTTACCAGATTTCAAGCTTTACTACAAAGCTGTGATCACCAAGACAGCATGGTACTGGCATAAAAACAGACACATAGACCAGTGGAACAGAGTAGAGAGCCCAGATATGGACCCTCAACTCTATGGTCAAATAATCTTCGACAAAGCAGGAAAAAATATACAGTGGAAAAAAGACAGTCTCTTCAATAAATGGTGCTGGGAAAATTGGACAGCTATATGCAGAAGAATGAAACTCGACCATTCTCTCACACCGTACACAAAGATAAACTCAAAATGGATAAAAGACCTCAACGTGAGACAGGAATCCATCAGAATCCTAGAGGAGAACATGGGCAGTAACCTCTTCGATATCAGCCACAGCAATTTCTTTCAATATATGTCTCCAAAGGCAAAGGAAACAAAAGTGAAAATGAACTTTTGGGACTTCATCAAGATCAAAAGCTTCTGCACAGCAAAGGAAACAGTCAACAAAACAAAGAGGCAACCCACGGAATGGGAGAAGATGTTTGCAAATGACAGTACAGACAAAAGGCTGATATCCAGGATCTATAAAGAACTTCTCAAACTCAACACACACAAAACAGATAATCATGTCAAAAAATGGGCAGAAGACATGAACAGACACTTCTCCAATGAAGACATACAAATGGCTATCAGGCACATGAAAAAGTGTTCATCATCACTAGCCATCAGGGAGATTCAAGTTAAAACCACATTGAGATACCACCTTACACCAGTTAGAATGGCCAAATTTTCCGAGACAGGAAACAACGTGTGTTGGAGAGGATGTGGAGAAAGGGGAACCCTCTTACACTGTTGGTGGGAATGCAAGTTGGTGCAGCCAATTTGGAGAACAGTGTGGAGATTCCTTAAGAAATTAAAAATAGAGCTTCCCTATGACCCTGCAATTGCACTACTGGCTATCTACCCCAAAGATAATATATGTTTTTAATATAAAGTTACTTATATTAAACTTATAGTAAATCATTGTTTGCTGTTCACTTGTATTCATCTTTAAGATATATTTTCTGTATATGCAAAATATGCATGTGTATAGCATGTGTTTATATGTGTAGAAAATCTGTTTTTTCCTTTTTTTTACAAGTGGTAGTATATTACAGATGCTTTTTCTTACCTTGCTTTTCTTAATTCATAATATAGCTCAGAGATTTTTTCATATACATACATAAAGAGATTCTTTTAAAAAAAAGGAGACATAGTATTCCATTGTTAGATATTCATTTGCTTTAAAAAGTTTCTTGTTGATGTATATTGTTTCCTCCCCATTTTTTCTGTAATATGTAATCCTGAGTGAAGAACCTTGCACATCCATTTTTTTTTTTTTTCAATCCATGCAGGTCTATCTATAGGTTGTTGTAGTAAAATTGCTTGGTCAAAAAGCATGTATATTTCTAATTCTGATATTGCTAAACTACTCTTAAGGAGGTTGTACTAGTTTACACTCCTACCAGTAATGTATGGGTATGCCTCTTTTCAAAGTGTCTTATAAACTTTTTACTTTTACAAGCAGTGTGGAAAAAAAACATTATCTCACAATAGTACTAACTTCATAAGGGCTATTTTTTCAATTGTCTGGCCTATCTTTTGCTTATTTCTCCACTTGATTGTTGTTATTTTCTTATTGATTTGTAGGTGCTTTCAGTATTTATTAGGAAATTAACCCTTTGTCAATTGAATTGCAGCTAGTTTTCCCCATTTTGTCAAATGTTTTTTGAAATTTGCTACTGATGACCTATTAAATAGCAAACATTTCTTTCCTTTCTTCCCTCCCTCCCTCATTTTTATAGCTAAATTTATCAGTCTTCCTCTATGGTTTCTTGGTTCTATCATACTTAGAAAGGTACTCTTCATATTATTGTTATAAAATGAATTCCTAGGATACCTGAGGGGCTCAGTCAGTTCAGCATCTGCCTTTAGCTCAGGTCATGATCTTCAGGTCCTGGGATCAAGTCCAGGTGGGGCTTCCCATCCAGCTGGGAGTCTGCTTCTCCCTCTCCCTCTGCCTCTACCCCCACTCGTGTTCACTCTCTCTCTCTTAAATAAATGATAAAATAAAATAAAATAATAAAATGAATTCTCATGCATTTTGTCTTGTACTCATGTGAACTCATTCAACTCTCTGACTAAATTTAAAGGCTCCATTTCATATTATTAAAAGAGAGAGGAAAATATTAGTTTAATAAGATGAAATAGAGTTAAAACTCCAGCCTGTTATTTTTATTTATTTTTAAGTGTTATTTATTTTTTATCTGAAGTAGAGTTGATATACAATATTATACTAGTTGAAGGTATACAAAATAAGCGAAGAAGCTTAAGAGGTACAAACTGAACTTTTAAACTGACATGGTATTTGATTTTTAAACTCTTAATAGTGGCATATATACTGGCATATAAACTTGGCATAATCGCCAGGTTTACACACTTCACAGCACTCACCATAGCACATACCTTCCCCAATGTCCATAACCCCACCCCCCTTCTCCCAACCCCCCTACCCCCAGCAACCCTCAGTTTTTTGTGAGGTTAAGAGTCACTTATGGTTTGTCTCCCTCCCAATCCCATCTTGTTTCATTTATTCTTCTCCTATCCCCCTTAACCCCCCATGTTGCATCTCCACTTCCTCATATCAGGGAGATCATATGATAGTTGTCTTTCTCCGATTGACTTATTTTGCTAAGCATGATACCTTCTAGTTTTTTTTTTATCTGTAATAGAAAAATTTTAATGGCTGGTTAATTATATCACTACATTATTATTGCAATATAGTACTCATTTAAGCACTTAAAAATCGAAGATTAAATTAAGACATGGTAAATTGACTAAATATTTGGTTTTTATATAAATAAAGGTCATAACCACACTGTTGACATGTAATACTGTTATAATGCAACAGTTAAACTGTGAGTCTACAACAGAAGTCGTCTGTAGTTAAACAGGAAACAAAGTTGAAAAAGACCATGTTAAAACAAAACTACTGGGACTAACAGGTGGGGATTGTAAGTAGCAACAAACATATTCACTCAGCTCCTGAGTATTTCAAGTTTTACAGTACACATTAAAAATTATTTCTTCCATCAACACTATAAATTCAAACTGTCGGATGTTTATGCGTTTTGCAAGTTACACTGATTGAATGCTTATATGGGAGTGGGGGTCGGAGCATCTCCCGATTTGAAGTTTACATCACCCACATGCTAACACAAACACAACTTGTTCCGTTTTCCTTCCCCCCTCTTCCCCAAACAAAGGCGGCAGGATTTTTTGGTTTCTTTTAGATAATTGTTTTAAAGGATTTGTGATGATCAATTTGAACGTCTGAAATTCAGTAATATTTAACTCTTAGACAACTAAGAGGTTAAAGATGGAAAATAATTTCTCCTAACATCAAGTTAGAAAATCATTTGCATCATGCTGTAAACTGGGAAGCAATGTAAAGCGACAAAAACCTGTCCCCAGTACATAATTAAAAAAATCTAAATTTCAAATCAGCAGAGCTGGTCTACTTCCATATTGACTATATGCCACAGTACGCGTGTGCGCTCCTGAAATGCACGGCTAATGCAGGCAGTCTTCCACTGCGGCAAACGCACAGGATCCGATTCCTGATTGAGCCATCAGTCCTAGACACTGTGTGGCCTGTCCCATTGCTAGGGCAAGTGGAGGTTGCTTTGGCAGATTGTGGGTTTCTAATATTGCACTGTTAAGAGCTGAGCACACGGGTTCTCTCTGAATTGGGTCAAGCTGATTTCCAACTGGGCTGTTCCAAGGGTCTGAGTATATATACAGTCCCATACAATTTAACAAATTAGGAAAACAGGCTCTGGATGAAATGAGTTGAAGTCTTAGGTTTTCTAGAGGAATACTGAAATCCATTTGATTTAAGAATGTTTTATCATTTGTTTATTTTTTTCATATACAAAAAATTAAAATTAAAAACTATGTACCTTTTGGTCTAGTACTGCTTACAATTGCAAGGAAAGTTCACAGTGGGGGAAATTAGAGAGGAAAGAGCTTAATTATAGTGTAGAAGAGGCATTATGATAATTGTGTAGTAAGAAATTCTCAATATTTAGTGTTTTTCTCATTCTTTGCATCTAAATAAAACTACTCTAAGAGTATTTGATTTCACATTAATTTTCCCACTCAAATATTTTTAAATGATTCCATCAAAGCATTAGAGATATAGAACATTAGAGATATCCACATTTAATTTTAACTTAGTAATTTTTTTTCTTCTGGATTTGCTTTACCTGTATGTGTGGCCTGTCCTTCAAAGTCTTCCTCCAAACTTTGGCTTTTGGCTTCTTCCATTTTAGGGTTTGGATTTGATATAATCTATAGCATAAACAAAGAGATAATCTATAAATAAACAAAGAACAAAGAACAAATCTAAAGCATGAGCAAAGATTTGATATAATCTATAGGGTGAACAACAGATGAATGCTAGGATATATATATTTATATCCTATTATTCTCTTGCTGCCAGTGTCCATGCTGAGCTAGGAGTTCTCACTAATAAATTTTAGTATGTTTAGTATGCTTCTGTCTCCTTGTAAAAGAACATTAATTTAATGTTTGTATAGTTAAAGATATTTTGACCTAAAGATTTTACATAATTTGTAGTTTGTTTTTACTTAAAAAGCCTTCAGTTTAAGTCTATGTACTTAATGAACATTATTTATTATTTGTTTTTTAATTTTGTTACGAAATATCATACAATTATATCCCAATATTTTATATAACACAATTTTTAAATTAATAATTATTATATATTTACTATGAATACTTACTTTGTGCCAGACATTGTTCCAATTAATTTATGTGTCAAAAATCATTTAATTCTCATGTAGCTATATGTGACAGGGACAATTATTAACACCATTTCACAACTGAGGAAGCTGAAGCACAGAGAGTTTAAGTTATCTGTCCATGATCACATAGTAAATGGTAGAGCAAGGATTTGAACCTAGATTTAATTTTAGAGCTAGATCTTAAGTCATTACACTCTTATGAAAGTTAACATATTGTAAGAGTCATTTTTGTCAATAAGGTTTAAGAAGTCCTACTTCCGAATTGGTATTAAAGAGTAACAATCTAAGGAACAATGCTATTCAAAAACTAACGCCAGAACATCTCTCCATACCATAAAGCAAGTTTTGGTGATGTTACCCACCAAGAAAATGATAACAATTAGTAACTATACCTATAGAATTTTGACTAAAATATGTCACAATATCTACCAAAAGCACATGGAATTTTATTCATAAAAAACTCCTTGATGCCATGATATAGAACCTATTTATTCTTCATTTACATAAGTATAACTTCTTTACTTAATTATCTTTCCATCATTTGGAAAACTCTATTATTATACAACTAACACATTCCCTAAGGGGTCCATATAGTTGTAATTTTCTTGAAATTTCCACATCAGGGAGGTTATACTAACAGTGGATGTACCATCTCTTTACTGAAGAAAGCTTCCTCTACCTTCTCCCCTTTGCCTCTTTCTTTCAAAGTCAGTTTTAAGCAATGATGTGATCCAACTTATGCTTTTATTCCCATCTTAGTTTTTTATTGATTTATGCCTGGACTTGGTTCATTTAGTGCTTTCCCAAGGTATGGAATGGTAAACCAGAGTTCTTTGTCTTCATTCCTTCTTTGCTTTGACATCTGCTCCCAGCATAATTTTATGGTCTCACAAGTTTATTGTTTACATCATTATAGTCCCTACTCAGAATCATTGGTTGTCAAAAATCCTTGCCAAATTGATTTTACCCAATTGAACAAGAAGAGGCTTTTAAGAAAAGACTGTCAGGAGCTCTTGGAGACTGTAGATATAGATTTTAAATCATGTATCTTTCTCATGTTCATGTAAAAGAGGGAATATAAACAAAATAAATGGTTTGAGCCATTTAAAAAATCTGTCAAGGAAATGCTTATTTATTACACAACATTTATTAACTATAAATGTAATAAAGAATATTTGTTAAAAGATTTTATTTATTTATTTGACACACAGAGATCACAAGTATGCAGAAAGGCAGGCAGAGAGAGAGGGGGAAGCAGGCTCCCCGCTGAGCAGAGAGCGCAATGTGGGGCTTGATCCCAGGACCCCGAGATCATGACCCGAGCTGAAGGCAGAGGCCCAACCCACTGAGTCACTCAGGTGCCCCTGTAACAAAGAATATTAAAGTTGAATGGATTTACTAATGAAAAAGAATAAATGAAAATGAAAAGAAGGAAAATAGAAATAAATAAATAAATGTTGGTTAAAAGAAGCTACTTATGGGGTACCTGGGTGGCTCAGTTGGTTGGGCATCTGCCTTTGGCTCAGGTCATGGTCCCAGGGCTCTGGGATCCAGCCCTTCATCGGTATCTCTGCTCAGCAGGGAGTCTGCTTTTCCCTCTCCCTCTGCCCCTCTGGCAGCTCATGCTCTCTCTCTCTTTCTCTTTGTGAGTGTCTCTCATTCACTCTCTCTCTCAAATAAATAAAATCTTTAAAAAACCCCAAAAAACTATGTAAGGGGTGCCTGGCTGGTTCAGTAAGCAGATCATACAACTCTCTCTTTTTTTGGTGGGGAAGGGAAGGAGAAGAGGGAGAGAGAGTATTAGGCAGACTCTGCACTGAGCATGGAGCCCAACATGGGACTTGATTTCATGATCCTGAGATCACCTCCTGAGTTAAAACCCAGAGTTGGGCCCTTAACCAGCTCTACCACCCAGGTGCTCCAAGTATGTGACTCGATCTCAGGGTCATGAGTTCAAGCCCTACATTGGGTATAGAGCCTACTTTAAAATAAATAAACAAGCATTATATTATTTATAAAGCTAATTAATTAATTATTGCAATTACTTAAAAAATTTTTATATCTCAGAAACATGAACATTATTAGTTTGCTTCAAAAGAACACTACAGAACAAAGTAGTGGAAACTTTTAGTAACTTTGGTAGCTGTTTATTCCCCAGAAAAGTAGAGACACAAGCCAACTTTTTTTTTTTTTTTTTGCAAGAGTAGGGAGTTAATTTGGAGTAGCTACTATTCACAATAAATATTATAAATACATTACAGCAAGTACATTAAGAGTATCTAAAAATTATTTTATTTCAAATGTTGAAGAAAAAGAAGCATAGCTTCCTTCTTGGTTTGCTTCTTGCCACCCTAGTTTGCAATCTAGTAGAAAAAACTTCCATTTTTCAAAAAGACTTTCACCAATTTCAAAGAATCCCCTTACTGAAAAGGCCTTCCCATTATTTAGGGAAAACCTGATTCATTGATTTTCCTGGGCTATGAATTACATGAATGAATTCATGAGTTACATGAAGAACAAAACTCTAGTCTGGCACTCACTAAGACTTAAGTCAGCTGGGTTGTCTATTTAGTGAAAGACAGTCCATCTTTACCTATGCCTTCATTTGAGTTAGAGTAAAAAGACTGGTGAAATTTATTGCTGTTTACTGCTAGGGAACCAATCAACAGAAAAACAAATCAGAAGACACATATTGAAATATGAGGCATATTTGCTGAAAATTCTGTGGAAGAAAACACAAGTTGAGTATGATTAGCCATTGGAGTTTTTGATCTGTTAATATCCCCTGTCATCACCTCACTCTGGTGTTTTCAGATTTTCTCAAATAATTATCTTTTTAAAAATTATCATCAGTATCCTAAAATTAATTGAATTAGTATTTGGAAGGTACTTAGATCCAGACACAGATAAATGCTGTGTGAGTCTGTAAAATAAAATAAAGAATATATCTTCAGTGTTTGTATATATAGTGTTAATGGTCATTTTAAAACTATGATTAACATTTGGTTTGCAATGATATTATTAGTAGTTTAAAAATTCCATGCCTGCTTTAAGTTAAAGGATTTAAAATAACAATAAGATTATTAAAGACTTTAGGTGATAATAAACACATCTGTGTGTGCTTGGAAACTGGTGAAGGACAAGAAGATAGAAAACTCCACCAAGAATTACTCTGGTTCAGCAGTTATTGTATTTTCCAACTTACGTATTTTAAAAATATTTGCTGTTGTTCCTTCTTGATTTTAGACAATTATAATACTTTTCCAGTTAATAAGATCTCTGTTAGTAAAAATTAGATTTTGACAGAATATCATTCATTTAAAGGGTTACTAAAAAACTCCTTAAAAGCAAAAGTAGGGGTGCCTGGGTGGCTCAGTGGGTTAAGCCTCTGTCTTCGGCTCAGGTCATGATCTCAGGGTCCTGGGATCGAGCCCTGCATCAGGCTCTCTGCGCAGCGGGGAGCCTGCTTCCCCCTCTCTCTCTCTGCCTGCCTCTCTGCCTACTTGTGATCACTCTTTCAAATAAATGAATAAAATCTTAAAAAAAAATAAAAATAAAAGCAAAAGTAAAAAGTTAATGTTTATGATACATACTGTTTAAAAAATTAAAATGTAATTCTACCAGCTTAGGGTTTTATCTTCCTCTTAGTGTTGGGTTTTAGTAGTAATTTAAAATAATAGCTGAGGGGCACCTGGTGGCTCAGTGGGTTAAAGCCTCTGCCTTCGGCTCGGGTCATGATCTCAGGGTCCTAGAATTGAGCCCCACATCGGGCTCTCTGCTCAGCAGGGAGCCTGCTTCCTCCTTTCTCTCTCTGCCTACTTGTGATCTCTATCTGTCAAATAAATAAATAAAATCTTTAAAAATAAATAAAATAATAGCTGATATGGGATAACATTTCTCAAACTTCACCCTTAAAACTCTAACACCTCCCAACCATGGTTTTTAATTACTAAGAAATAAAATGAGACAATTTTAAATGATTCTACTTGTAATTTTTGTTTCACACATAATGGCGATGTTCTAGAATAGAAAGGAAGTGCTAAAATTCTTTTTTTTTTTTTAAGATTTTATTTATTTATTTGACAGAGATCGCAAGTAGGCAGAGAGGCAGGCAGAGAGAGAGAGGAGGAAGCAGGCTCCCCACTAAGCAGAGAGCCCGATGCCGGGCTCCATCCCAGGACCCTGAGATCATGACCTGAGCTGAAGGCAGAGGCTTAACCCACTGAGCCACCCAGGTGTCCCGGAAGTGATAAAATTCTTAAACATTAGTTTAACATTATTTATAACGAAACATTAGTTAACTACATTAACATTAGACTAATTCTTAAACATTAGTTTTAAAAATACTCTTTAAAAACCCCAAATCCACCCCTGAAATATTTCATTATCGTTATTACCCTTGTTCACATGATATTTTGATGATGACATCTGTTACCATATTAAATCTGTTTATTTGATCTAATCAGAATATATAGTTTAAAATTGACTTGTACATTCTCAGTGCACAGGAGAAGAGCTTTGCTT